CACTAGCTAGCAGGAAGGGATCCTTCTTGGCCATGCCTGGAGAGTCTGGGAATGAACCTGAATCCTTTCCAATGCAAAGCAGGGTGTTCTGGCACAGAACTGCAGGCTGCGACGGGCACCTTGGCGCCAAAAGCGTGTGGTTGTTTGTTTGTTTTTCCTGAAATGGTGCCCCTTACGTCTCCCTCCAGTCGTTGATTTTTTTGCAGCAAGGTTTTTGAACATGACCAGAATAAGTTGCTGGGAAGTTTCCAGCAAAGTTCAAAATGTGCATCTTGCCGCAAAGCAACCAAGATTAAGTGCAACTAATTAGTCTGAATTCCCGGGGGGGGGGGCGGTAGAGCCCTGGGCCTCAGAAGACGAAGTGGGTCTTTATTTTGCAAGGGGCATGACCCCCTCCCCCGGGGCCCCCATCTGAATCATCTCCCAGAGATGATGGCATTGCAATCCCACAAGGGAAATTGGAGGGAGTCTTTCCAAAGGCATGGGCGGGGGAGGGGGAGAGATGTTATCTCTGATGTATTAATTGATTGCAATCCGCCTGCTAGGGAAGGCAGGGGCGTGATTGCCAGGCTGTCTCGATCCGTCTCTGGGCCTGGCTTGCCCCCAAGACACAGCTTTCCCATCTAAGAATTTGCCTACGCTTTTGCTTTTTCTGCCCGCCAGGCCTCCAGCAGGATCCACCTGTGGTTGGAAACACAGAAAACAAGTCTTCCTAGGGAGGCCAGCGTCTGTCGTGGAACAAGGATGGCCCAGTCTGGACAGGCAGGCAGGCAGGCAGGCAGGCCGTGTCCAAGGGGCAGAGGGGGCGAGGGGCCTTCCCGAAGCTAGGAAGCGCCCCGGATCTCTTCCGGTGCCCCCTCTCACCCCAGCAGGGAAAGATTTCTTCTCTCTGTGATTCATAGGGAGGATCTTTATCAGGCTGCAGATGGCACATCAGAGGGAGAGGGAACATGTCAGAACGTAGGAACAAAGCTCTCAGCTCCAGGTTGTTCTGAAGAAGAGGGGCTGTCAAGATCAAGGCCAGCAAACCAGAATGGGCTTCTGCTTCTTCCTGGGAGAGAAGCTGCCCAGGGGTGGGGTGGGGTGGGGTGGGGTCTCTGTCAGCTTGCCAGGCCATCTCGGGAGCCTTCTGTGCCCCTTGCCTGTCCTAAAGGAGACTCAGGGTGGAACAAGGATGGCCAGAGCGGGGATGAGCAGCTCCAGGTCTTTCTGAGTCTCAGGAAAGCAAAGGAGGAGGAACGCTGGCCGAGCCATTCCTCTGCCCCACCCCAGGAATGAAGGCTTAGATGAGTTACCGGGTGATGATTGCTGTGTCTCAAGGGGTGACTACGTCCCCTTGCTGTGCAAATGGACCTTAACAGCCAAAGCCCTGTTCCACAAATCACATCCTTACGTTGACGGGGAAACATTTTCAGTCATTCAAGAGGGAAGCACTGTGGTGTGTTTTCCTTCCTTCCTTTCCTTCCTTCCTTCCTTCCTTCCTTCCTCCTATTCATCATCAGCTCCTTCCTTCCTTCCTTCCACCAGTGATTATCGTTATTCACCTTCAGATGGCTTTGATCTTTCTACACTGACATTTCAAGTCCACCGGGGCCTCTGGTACCTATTTAAGGTGGAAGAGCCGCTGGAGCAGAAGCCATAACTTCTCTCCAGCGACCCAAAGGCCATCCTCCTGCCATCTCCGAAAGATATCTTGAGGGCTGGTGACTCACTCCCAAAAACTCTCTCCCGGGGGTTGGAATGTGGGGCTGGCTGTGGGAACGGTGAGATTGATGCCATTTCCAAGTCCTGGTGGAAAACAGGAGAGCAGCAACGGGGGCAGGCGGGTGGGGGCACTGCTTGCGCTCCCTCTCACATAAAAGCTAAGACCATCAAGGGAGGAGGGGTGGAGGCCTGGTGCTCCCCCCTCCCCATGAACCCCTTGGCGCTGGGACCCGAGAAGTGTGGGTGCTGTTCGGGTGTTGGTGGCCCAGAGAGCCAGCTGGGTGGGGACCCGGAAGCAGGAGCCTCCAGACGTGGCCTCAGTTCAGCAGGCATGGTGGGGGCAAGGAGAGGAGGGCGAGAGCCTGGGTGGCGTGAACCCTATGCCTTTCTCCCTAGAAGAGCTGCGGTACAGGGAGGGGGCAGCCTTTTTGCTTGCAGAACCGCCCGTTCATCAGGGCCGGGGGCTTCTTGCCCCAGCAGCTCCGTCAGAATGGCAGGGCTGTTCTGGGGGGGGGGCTGCACCTTTCTCCTGTGGCAGCCCTTTCCCCTCGGGTCTCCATCACTTCACCCTCTGCTGGTCTTGTAGCACCGTCAGGGTCTTTGTAGGACTGAAGAGGACACGGTGCAACTTCCTGCACCCGCTTAAGTCCCCAGGAAACCCCATTCTTCCATTGGTGTGTCCCCCCCGCCGCCGCCGCCCCCCAGTGTGGAAGTGGACACCTGCCAGTCCCAAAATCAGCAGGGCAAAGGTATGACTGACCGTCTGGAGGCTGTTCTCCCGAGGGCCTCTTTGCGAAAGGACCCAATGAGTCTTTTTTTTTTCAAGGGCTGGGGCGGGGGGGGGATGACTGACCCTTCCTGCACTTCCTGCTGGCATGGCTGGCTGGCTGGCTGGTGGTTGATGCTCTTCCCTCCCTATTTGGCCCTGGAAAGAAGTACCATGTTTTCATGTCTGGGGTGCAGACCGTGGCCGTTTGCTCCTGGTGGCAACGGGTGGCCATACACTGGCAATCGTCTGGGCAATCAAAAAACACC